ATTCAATATTTATTTGTATGTTAACTATAAATTGAAAAATTTCTTTAAACTATATTTTATTTCAATATTGCAATTTACCTTCATTTTATTAATCATAACTAATAAATATTTAATTTGAAATAAAAATAACTATATTTTACTTTATTTGGACCACTGTGCTGCAGCTGCAGTTCAATGACTGTCGGGCAGATGTTCTGGTCGCCTGACTGCCCCTGCCCCTGCCCCTGCTCTAGCCCTTCTCGCGCAGTGGGGCGCAAAAACAGTAATAGCACATGACATAAATGTCCAAATGTCTGCATTGACTATGAATGCATACATATTATTTATGTATGTATGTATGTATATATATGTGTATCTATGGAGTGGTGCTGGTGCTCCCCCACAGCTTTTCCGCTTATGAATGTTTCCGATCACGTCTGCCGCTTCCACATTGGCATACCAAACCGCTCGAGACCTGGGAACTGCGAACCTCGAACTGGGACCTGAGTCGTGGCTTGACCAACACGCGTTCGTCGCCGTTGTCGTAAAGCATATGGAACTGATTGCAGTTTAGTTTATACAAAAAATTGAGCAATACTTCAATAGAATTGTGAAGCAATTGCTGAAATTGAACACTTTTTGCCAGTCTGCTACCCGGTCAACACACTCCAGTTTAAATTCAAAAAAAAAAAAAAAAAAAAAAAAAAAAACCAAATCCGAAAAAAACGAAAGTATCAAATTCGCATTGCCTTGAAAAATATGCACAGCAATTTGACCTAAATTAAGAGCTGTTTTGACAAGCTGACGCAATTTGAAGTTTTCCAAATTTCTCAAATAGAAACTTCACGGACTAACAACCGGACTTCAGTTGTCACGATCTTCGGTGCATTTCACTGAATTCAGCTGGTTAACTTCTTAGAAGAACTGGGTGTTCTTTTTATTCCATTTGGCCATTTCCGAAAGAAAATCAGCATTAAAATTGGTTGACTTTCTGAATTATATGTACGTGCATACATATGTATGTATTTACATACAGACGACACTCAGTACAACATACAGATTTTTTTTTTTTTGCTTCAATGTAATTCTCTTTTTACATATGTACATACAGAAATATATATATCTAAATATATGCACTCTTATTGAAGACTCAAGATATATTAAAAATTCGTTTTTAGTGTTTATTTCATTTTTTTTTGTTTTTATTAATTTTTAATTCGCATTCCATTTTCGTTTCAATTTTTATTTACTTTTTTATCCCACGTTTAAACTATGTATATATAATGTAATTTTCATCATTTATTTTAAATGATATTTACTAACGTCTCAACTATTTGCACATATCGATCTTATTTCATTAATATTTTAATAACAATTCACTCAAATAGCTCAAATAGTGTCAATCCTTTTACATACATACATTTATATTGACATTGGGGATCATAAGTATCAATATTATCCTTATGAATGCATCATTATCCTTTCATTGCCATTTATTTGTCAACTCAGGAAATTAGAGAAAAATTCTAATTCACTCGGGTTGTATGTTTCTGGTATCGATATCCATTCCATACCAATTCATCATTCATTTACGCAATATCAACAATACATTTTTACTTAAATTTAAGGTGAAATTATTCTTAATATATCGCTACAATTTGCTCGCATTTGCTATGAAAAAAAATATACATATATATATATATTAATAAATAAATCATCATAATAATGGAAAACAAAAACAATGTTATAGTTATACACTTCTAGCCGGAAAGGGGCCCCGTTTCTAACATCATACATATTACCCAATTATCGTAAAATATAAGATTTTGATTTGAGCATTGGTGCCGTGAGACACCCAGCCAACTGGGGCTGCAAAATATACATACAATACATACATTGTCTAGGTATTTAGGTATAAGTACTACTTAGTTAATTTGGCCACTCGGCTGCGTTAGTCGTGGGTAGTAGGTAGTTATGTTTTCGTTCTTGGGTAGGTTCTTCTGATTCAGATCCATTGGGAATACATCTATGATTTGCATTGCCTCTCTGGCTGCCTGCCTGCCTGCTCTCTGGTCTCTTCTCTCTTTTCTCTGCTCTTCCATCTCTGATCTCTGCCTGTCGTCAGCTGTAACACTCGCAACGTAAAATGAATAGACAAGCACTTTGCATATTTAGTATATGCGTAAATTGTTCAACCATCTTGAAACCATAGAATTATTCATGTAGTTCTTGTGGGTAGCTGCATATATTAACTATTGGGTGGTTTTAATGGAGGCTAGTGGTTCTCTCAAAATAAGCTCCGGCTCAAATGGGAAGGGTATTAAAATGGATTGAATAGCTGATTGCTGCCAAACGTGCTGCATGATTACAAATTGAAACGTTTTGCTTTGATATTAATTTTTTTAGCTTTACGTTTTTGTTTCTTTTCTTTTCATTTCATTTTTTTTAGTTTTTTTTATTTTTAGTTTTGGTTTTATTCTATACGTAAGACTTAAAGTGTTCGCATTTCGCTTGCCCAATATGTTGTTGTTCTGTTTGTGTTGGCACTATAATTTTGGCCTAAAGTAAGAGTGTTCCGCGTAGCTTAGAAATCTATTTGCAGGTTACCCTGAGACGCTTAGCTTTCTATCAGTTGCTGCACACGCATACATGTGCACTTATGACTCTTTGAATTGCGTGCGATCTTCAGCTAGCGCCTAGACTCTGCATTGATTCTTAAAGTTTTGGTTAACTTACAAAGTAGCTCGACATTGCAACGTATTCACGAGTCACGATTTATCATTCTTCGTATTTATTTATCGTATTTTTGTGTTCTTAGATTGAAAAAAAGAGAATCAAACTTTACTTGAATAATAATAATAAAAACGAGTGAGTTTAAGTTTTCGACTCTATAAAAGCAGGTGCCCTCAGCAATCCTGTAAAAAACGGATGAACTCGATTCCTGCTCCTGTAATTGGATTTCGTAATTTCTACACGATTTCTTTGTTGTATACACAATACATTAGCATTAAAAACTTAAAGCTGCGACGCTATCGGGTGGTTATTTTTTTAAATCTTTTTCTCATTTTTTTTGTCGATTTTAATTTTAGTTTGTTTGGATTGTGGGCACATTGATTTGGTTCACTTGATTAAGCTGTCTGTTATTGCTTATTGGCTGTGGGTTAAAAGGAAGCGCTCGCTATATTAATCTTATTCAACTTGTCTGATTTTCAATGTATCCAACCTGAGTTTGAGTTGCTCAAAAATATATATGTGTATATTTTATTATATATACGTGTTTACGTGTTTCTATTTCGGTGCGTTGACCTGCACCCTCTTTACTAAATAGTGGTTCAAAATGTATTACATTTATCATTTCTTGACGATTTTGTATATTTTATTACTTGCTGTTACTATATTTTTTTTTTGTTGTTTTCATTAGTGTTTGTATTTGTCTGTGTGTATCTGTGTGTGTGTGTATGTGTTGGTTTTCGTGCTCACTCTATGTTTTAATTTGCCATTGTTTAATTAATTGTCGTTTATAATAATAACGCTGTGGCAATTAATTAATTCTCTTATATTGTTTGATTGCATTTTCATCATCTCTTTAATTCTTAATTAAATTAATTCAACTTCAACAATTTTGTTCGCAAATGCGTTTTTTTTTTTCAGTTTTGCTTTGTGTATGTAAGTGTAATCATTTTCACGAATTTTTTTTTTATTTTTATTTATTTTGTTTTACTGTATTTCTAATTTTTTTTCTTTTATTGCATTTAAAACCGTGCACATTTTGTTTTGTTAAATTTATTAAATGTTTGTATTTGTATTACATTTTCTTTTTAGTTTTATTACGTGTATTTAATTGTTTTTAATTTGTTTGAAACACTTGAAATTGCTCACATCATACTAAACTTTATATACCCCTTCTCTTTGCGGTTGCTCATATGGCTCGTCCTGTTTATTACCTCTGTTCTATGTTAGTTAAATTTAATTACGTAGTTTGCTATAATTTACTAACTCGTTTTACGCTCGCTTTTCAAAAGACTTTCTATCGTAGTTGCAAATAGAACTGCAAACATCATACATTTTGCGTCTGCTGTTTGTTGTAGTGCTTTTGTTGCTGTTCAAGTTAACTTAATAACTAACCACTGCAAAAATTACATAAGCGTTTAATGCTGTCTGGCGAATGAATACTTAACAAAATACTGGGTAAAACAATAACACAAATAAACAATAAACAAGCCGCACTGCGTTACTTGATGGAATGGCAAACAATATAATATTCAACTTAGACTAAAAACATCAAATATAAACAATAAGTATAACAGACATTACAATTTAAATACGGTTCCATTTTTGTTTTCGATTTTACAATTTGTTTTTGTGTTCCGACTGCAGTTCCCATAATACCCAACTTTTTGTATATATATGTATAAATATATATATC